TTACAAAACCAAAGCTCATGTCTTCGATTCGATCAGGCAAGAAGAAGAAATAGCGTTACACACTCTGGTAGTGGCTACAGGGATTTGGTTATATGGTGGCAGAGGCGGTGTAGAGCCAAATGACGCGACATACCTTGGGCTTACTCTCTCCTCTCTGCTTAACGGCTAGAGTCTGACGGTGAGGGGATACCTACCTAGGGTTACTGGGCAGAGGCGCCAGCGGCGCGGATATGGCCCTGATAAAACGCTGGGAACACATTCGCTGCCAAACGTGCAAGGTTCCGCATCCTTAGAGGGCCCGCCTGCCTTCGACTACGTATATTTCCTTTCTTCGACCTCCGACCAGGGTCAACCTATCGTTGTTACTTTTCGAAAAATTTTTACGACCCCCCTCCCCCAAGGTGGATTTGGTACGACCCCCTTTCCCTACCCTCGCCCAGCCTACTACCCACGAAATCTTAGTTTCACCTCAATCCCACACGTGATTTCGAGCGACTAAAGTGGGTACCCCCCCCCCTCCTACAAACTCAACCAGGTACGACCCCCCCGTTGTTACTCGTAACAACGTAGGGTTGACCCTGCCTCCGACCTCGTCGTTAAATCCTCCTCCAAGGAATCTGGGTTGGTTGAATCGGATTTCTTGACTGCTCCTTGCACACGTTTATCATGGAAAAACGATGTGCAACTTTGTCCTACTACGAACGAAGATCGAAATCGCACCGGAGTTTCAGCAAGCTCCAAGGGTTAGTACTGAACAGAGCAGTGGTAGCCTCTTTTCACAAAGGGCGTCAACCAAGTGTACCGCAGCAGTAGGCTTCGAAACGCGTACCCGCTAACAAATCGCCTTCCCCATGGCACGCATCAGCAGCGAGATCATCTCAAAGAAGACGTCCTCCAAAGGAGAAAGTTTAGCTTTATGGCGTTCCATGGTTGGTTGTTTGTTCGAATTTTCTATGCCAAAGAGGAAAAAGCAATCATGAACATTGGCCGACACCCTCCAGCAACTACACAGGCGCCACTTCGCTGCACTCGGCGGCTCTGAGCAGTTGTCGAGCGCATGGCGCACTCAGATTGGTGGTGGGCATTTTACCATTTCGGAGCAGAAGAGCTTGTGGACATTTCGTTGCTTCCATTCGTCCATCTACCGAATGGTTTCCATTCCTCTCTTGGAATTACAGCTTTTTTCCCACGTTTAGATTGATGTGAGGCATTTTTCTAATAGAATGCCTTTACATAATAGAATGTTAAACAGGATTGGCAGTTTTCAATTTACAATGAATTAACGCTTTTCTTCCGCTACCCACTGACAAACACTTCATCATCACTTCACCAAAGGCCTGCCGA